TGCCGGGTCATGTCCGCTCAGGTGGCATCTCCATGCAGACGTCCTCTGGACATCAGACACTTGCCCAAATCCCACTCCTCCTCAAGCCATGCAACCCCCACTCCCAGCATGCCTCATTTCCATCCTTCCGGTTGCTCTGGCCCAAAGCCTCAGAGTCCTGCTTGGCCCCTTCCTCACAGCCCATGTGCAGTCCTGCGAGTCCCTTCGGCTCCACCTTGCAGATTCCTCCAGAATCCCACCTCTTCTCCCCACGCCCACTGCTCCCACACTGACCCAGGCTCCGCCATCTCTCTCTGGACCGCTGATAGCCTCCTGCCCACAGTCTGTTCTCAACACCACAGCCAGAGGGAGCTGTTTAAAATCTAAGTGGCTCAGCGGGTGGGCTTCAGTGGTTGAGCATCGACCTATAAACCAGGAGGTCATGGTTCGATTCCTGGTCAGGGCTCATGCCCAGGTTGTGGGCTCGATCCCCAGTGGGGGGCATGCAGGAGGCAGCCAGTCGATGATTCTCATCATTGATGTTTCTCTCTTTCTCCCTCTCCCTTCTTCTCTAAAATCAATAAGGATATATATACTTTAAAAAGCAATATATCATTGTAAAAAATAAAATAAAATCTAAGTGGGATCACATCTCTCATCCACTTGAACCCTCCCAAGTCCTGAGGGCCCCCAACATGATCTGCTCTGCTCGGTGCTCCCCTCTGGCCTCCTCTCCAGCCACAGCCACCCCTCCAGGTCCCCACTTCTGCCTCAGGACCTTTGCTCCTGCTGCTCCCTGGCTCACCTGCTTCCCTAGATTCCACATGACCTGCCTCCTTCCCTGGCCTACTTGGCATTTTCCCAAGAAGATGCCACCTTCTCAGGGAGGCCTTCCTACCCACCCTACTTAAAGTCGCCACGCCCCCACCTCTCACACCTTCGGCTGTATTTCCTCCATTGCACTTGTCACCACCTAACGTTCTGTGTACTCTGTTTATTTTACTGTCCGCGCCGACCCTCCCTGCCTTGATTAGAACCGTAATGAAGGTGGGAAGGAATGTCTGTTTTGTTCACAAGATTCCTGGGGTCAACAACCGTTCCTGGCATGTAGTAGTTGTTCAGTAAATAATTATCAAATGAATGACCAGAGCCAAAGCGAAGAATTACATAACGTCATCGCCATCCTACAGCCTGCTGGTGGTAGCACCAGATTTTAAACCTGGGCTGGGCTGGAGGAGGAAAGAGCACCCACAGCCTCGGGCACAGGGAGGGGCGGTGGGGAGCATTCCAGTTAGGAGACCACACAGGCTCCATTCTCCTCCTAACACGGCGACACCAGGAGACTCTGAGCAAGTCAGTTCCCCTCTGTGAGCCTGGGTGCCCCCGTGGCCAGCGAGGGGTTGGGACGGTGCCTTGTGCGACGGTCCCAGGACTCCAGCCCTTTCTCCTGGGTGCGCAGTGGCCTCTGGGCAAGTGTCTGTTTCCTCCTGGCCCGGCTCCTCCTTCCTCCTGTGCCATCCACTCCTCCTGCACCAGCTGGACGTTCTGGGCTGGCTGGTGTGTGCCCAGGAGGAAGTGGCAGGAGGTAGGCTGGGAACTTTTCAGACTTACCTGGGCATGGGGCACAGGAAGGAAGGCCTGCTGGGCGCTCTGCCTGCCCAAGCCCGCAGCTCCCCGCTCCGGAGAGGGCTGTGCTCCTTCACCATCCCCCACCCCACCCAGGCCAGCATCCCTGGACGCCCGTCTCCCTCTTCCCCTGGCACCAGTCGCACGGGGACAGCCCCAGATGGCTCCCTGGCCTGGGGACAAAGGCCACACTGTGCCCAGCCCTGGGCTGGCCTCAGGCTGGGTCACACTGAGCCCTTCTGTCCCCATATGGGGGTGGGGGCAGACGCCACAAGGTGACAGGCCATTTTCCTGTCTCCCTCCCCCCGGGACCCCCAAATCTGAGGAGCTGACTCTCCCAAGGGAAAAGTGACAGAGGCATCTTGTGTCTTGAGCTAGGAAACAACAGACCATTCACTGCCCAGGCTGCCCTGTCACACCCAAGACCCTGCTGGGTTCAATGCCCCGATTGTCCCCAGCAGAGAGAGGCAGCCACTCTCTGCCGTGGTCACCACCCCTGCCACCTGCTCCCTGTCTCCATCCGGAAGTCCATCCCTACATCTGACCTCCATCGCTCCCGCCGCAGTGACAGCCACTTCCCCTTGGGCTCTCCTCAGGCCAGTGGAGGACAGCTGGTCCCCATCTCACTGCCTCGCTTGGCCCCACATTCCTGCTTGAGTCAGCTGTCCCCAGTGCCCCCCCCCTTGGCTCCCCATCTCCCCCCATCCCCCAACCCAAGCGGGTGGCTCCTTGCTTCTGAGGGAACAGGAGGAGAGTAGGTACCATTCAGGGCTGGGCTCCTTTATCGTGTAGAAGTTGGGGGCCTCTCTCCCAAAGGCTTGTAATGAGCCCCCTGCCCTCCTACACAGCGAGAGCAAGGACATGAGATTCATGGTGGATCCTGGCGGATTCCTGAGCACAAACCCATCGCTCCCTGCCAGAAATCCCAGGCGGCAGGACGGCTTTATGGGGGTCCCCTGTTTTCAGAAGGGGGCGTGGCTGGCTCTCTTGGCAGAGCTCAAACCTCAGGGAGCCAAGTGCCTGGCTCCCCCTACCCCCCGGGTAACCATGATCGAGTCTGGGGCATCAGTCTGTGCCTGGCCGACATTTCCTCCCCTTCTCGGGGTCCTCCTGCTCCACTCAATGTGCTCTCCACCCTCGGCTCCTCCCCAGCTCGCTCTCAGGGTCCCCATTGCAGCCAGGCGGGCAGTGGGAACCTGGACACATCACCCTCCCTTTCCTGGGCCTCAGATGCCTCCCCACTCCCCTTCTCGGGGTCCTCCTGCTCCACTCAATGTGCTCTCCACCCTCGGCTCCTCCCCAGCTCGCTCTCAGGGTCCCCATTGTAGCCAGGCGGGCAGTGGGAACCTGAACACATCACCCTCCCTTTCCTGGGCCTCAGATGCTTCCACCGCAGCTCATGTCAGATAGCGGGGATGCTTTTTAAGACGCATTTTCCCAGGCGTCATCCTCAGAGCCTCAGTTCCAGAATCTGAGAGTGAGACCCAGGAATCTGAATTTAAAAAAAACAAACATATATTTTTATTGCTTTCAGAGGGGAAGGGAGAGGTAGAGAGAAATAGAAACATTAATGATGAGAGAGAATCGTTGATCACCTGCCTCCCGCACACCCCACACTAGGGATCGAGCCTGCAACCCGAGCATGTGCCCTGACCAGGAATCGAACCGGGACCTCCTGGTTCATAGGTCGACACTCAACCACTGAGCCACGCTGGCCGGGCAGGAATCTGAACTTTTTACAAAGCTTCCTGGTGATGCTGATGCTCTGCCAGCTTGTAAACCCTGACCCTTATAATGGAGTCATCTCCGTACTCCTGTCATGCTGGGCACTGTGGGCCACAGGTGGGGTATGTGTAGGCCCCGTGTCACTGGGCCCATGTGCCCCTCTGGCACAATGCCTGGCACGCAGTAGGTACTCAGTCCTCGTTTGTTGAGCTGAACTGAGCGAGACTTCAGGGCCCACTGGCCGAGGGAGGCTTAGCTGGCAGTGCAGACCCAAGGCCTGGGTTCTGAGAGGCACAAGCCCGAGGAAGGAAGCTTGGCCATGCCCAGTGTCGGGGCTCCGGGGAGTTTGGGGACCAAACTTGAGTGCATTTGGGGGCAGCCAGGAACATTCAGGCCCAGGGAAGGGACCCTTTTCAGGGTTCCTTCTGGCTGAGGACAGAAGGATGTGATCATTAGGCAAAGCAAACATGTTACTGACCCATAATCCCTTAAACCAGGAGGATTCAGGAGGGGCCTGGTTGCCTTGGCAACCGGGTAGTAGCCAGTGACAGGGCTGAGAGCATCCTCCGGGGATGGGCTGTGTCTGGTGCGTGGGTAAAGCTGGGGGAGGGGGAGGGCGGCCCCTCCCATCACAGGACTGGCCCCCATGCCTTCCTGGCAGATGTGGGTGGGGGCCCTTGCGAGACTCCTGGGTCCCGGCCCCACTGCAGCCGAGGGAGTGTGGGCAGAGCAGGGTGAGGGGGCGGCCACAGTGGGAGCTTATGAAACCGTGACGGGGAGGAGGGACAGCCCCGCTCTGGGTTTTCAGGGCAGGACACAGAAGGAAGGGTCTGCAGGAGGAAGCAGTGCACAAGTCTCCTCACTCTGAGGGCAAGGGGGCTGAGGAGCTGCAGGGAGAACCCCTCTGGCTGGGGAAGGGCCCCCCAAGAGCCAGCAGAGGGGCCCGCCCCTCCCCCACTGTTCTCTACAGTGGACACCCTTCCCACTTGGGGCTCCTTGGGGGACCCTCTGTGTGTCCCCTGAGACCTTCAGCTGCACCTGAACACCCACATCTCAGCTGGCGAGATGGGACTGGGCCAGCTCAGATGCACACACCTCCTCCCTCACTTTCCCCTCCATTCTGTCTCCTGGGGACCCAGGACGAGCCAGCGAGGAACCTCCAGGGGTTGGTATGAGGATGAATGGGGTTTGGACCAGACTCTGTCACGAGGGTGTAAGCCGGGCTGATACTTAGCTTATAGGCATCCATCAGCAAGGCTTACCGGCTGCTGACATGTCCAAGCTCACACACAAGTTGGTAAAGAGCTGCTGGCCTGAGGGCCATCGGGTTCTAGTGCCCTCCCTCCACTCAGCCTTCCTTCCAGAACTCTCAGATCTCCAGCAGCTAAAGGGTTACCTTCTGGCCCTGGGAGGGCCTCCAGGACCCTCTTGGTATGCCATGCTGCTTTTATGAGCAATGCCGTATGGTTCTGATTGATCCTTATTGTGAGCATTTCCCAGGAGCAGGGAATCCTGGTGGATTCACAGGGAGGGAGAGGGTTGGGAGCTGGAACCTGTGAAGACTCAACCCTGGCTCCCAGGGCAGGGCCACAGAGCTTGATGGAAAGACCAAGACCCGCCACTCCCTGTTGCCTTGTTCTCATGGCTGGCTCTCCTCACTTCCGCCTCAGGACCTGCTGCCTGGTCCGGCCGATCATGAATAAGATGAAGAACTTTAAGCGCCGCTTCTCCCTGTCCGTGCCCCGCACCGAGACCATCGAGGAGTCCCTGACTGAGTTCGCAGAGCAGTTCAACCAGCTCCACAACCGGGACAGTGAGGGTGAGGGCACTCCCCCCAAAGCCCCTCCTTGCCCTCGACCACGCTGACCACACCCCACACTGTCACTGCTGGCCCTGGGGGAGGACAGAGGGAGGACGGGGACTTCCCTCCGGGGCAGAGGGGCAGGGAGGGGAGCTGATGCCTCTCGCTCTCAGATCTGCAGCTTGGTCCTCTTGGCAGAGACGCCCAGCCAGAGTCCAGCACCTTCTCCCCCACCGACGGTGGGGAGGAGCCCAGGCCGCCGTCCCCGGGCATGCGGTTCCGGCGGCAGAGCCAGCGCCGCTTCTCCATGGAGGTAGGGGCTCTGGGCCGTCCCGTGGGCCTGGCAGGACGCATCCACTCACGTGTGCCCGGGAGGGAGGTGGCCTTGGGGCCAGACTTCATGGGTTCAGATTCCAGCCCTGCCATTGATTAGCTCGGTGACCTTGAGCACCTTTCTCAACCTCTGCATACTGCAGTCACCTTGTGTTAAAATGGTCACCGTGAAGATTAGATGAGCTGCCTTGTGCCACGTGCCTGGAACATTCCTGGTACATAGCAAGGGCCAGACAACTGGACTATTGTTCTTATGACCCAGGTGCCCAAGTGCATGAAAAGTATGCATCCAGAATCATAGTGTCCGCAAGAGCCTCAGTGCACAGGTGGGGGCACTGGCCAGAGAGGGGAAGGGGCCTCCAGAGGTCACGTAGCAACAGGCCGGGTGTTCACGGAGGTCTCTGAGCACATGGTTGAGGCAGCTGGGAGCCTGGGTCGCAGCCTGTGGCTTGGCCCCGCGGAGTTGCTCTACAGGGAACGCCGGGCCCAGGGTGAGAGGCAGGGATCTCACAGCACCAGCTGCCCTGGAGCCAACACTGCCCACGTCTCATCCTGGCCACTGCAGGACATCAGTAAGAGGCTCTCCCTGCCCGCGGACATCCGCCTGCCCCAGGAATTCCTGCAGAAGCTGCAGCTGGAGAGCCCGGAGCTGCCCAAACCGCTGAGCCGCATGTCCCGCCGAGCATCCCTGGTGAGTCCCCAGAGCGGCCGAGATAACCAGGGTGGGACACCCTCTCCCAAACATGGTTTGGCCTCTTTGGGCTGAGGCCGCAGCAGTTTCTAGGGACGGTCCCGAGCCTCTGGCGCCACCTGCTGGTCAGAGCAGATATAGCCCTGCATCCTTGGTCAACATTCACTCTATGGCTGGGTCCCACCAGGGCTGGGGCTGAGCCTCCTCTGGGCGCAGGGTCTCCGCTAGAGTGAAATCAATAGACCAGCTGGCACGTGGTCTCCAGTCCTGGCTGCCATCCTATTTCCTTGGGAGCATCTTCCTAAACACACAGACTCTGGTTCCCACGCTAGATACCCACAGAATCAGACTCTGGGTGGTAGGGCCCAGGAATCTGTATTGTTAAGGGTTGGGTATCACTGAGCTAGAGGAAGGGTGCTGATGAGAGAGGCTACTGGGGTGGTGGGTTCTGAACTGGGCATTCGAGGTGCAGGGGACGAAAAGACAGAGTTCCTGGAGCTAGTAGTCCGAACAAGACAGAGATAGACAGGTGACGTGTGCTGAGACAGTCCCAGGTCTGCAGCCCGGGGCTCCACACCCCCCACCGCTGGGAGGAAGGAACCCGCTCTTCCAAGGCCTTCCTCCTTTAGCACAGGGATGGAGGGGAGAGGAGGAGAGGGAGGATTTGTGGCCTCCGTTGTTCTCTCTTCCCGATGGGGGTCTCCCTACCTTTCCTCCTGGGGAGGTGGAGCGGGGGAGGTGTGGTCTCGGGGCTGCTGGGGCCTTCAAGCTCACAGGACCCTACGTCTCTTCTCTCAGTCAGATATCGGCTTTGGGAAACTGGAAACATATGTGAAACTGGACAAACTGGGGGAGGTAAGAGACTGGGTTTGGTCTTCTCAGGGCAGCCAGCAGGATGGTTAGGAGTGACAGGGCCTTCCCTGGCCCTCCCTGACCTGCCCCCTCGCTGCACCTGCCCACAGGGGCACACGATCTTGGCTGGGCAGCTGGGCTCAGCCTTTGGCAGGTGCTGGGGGCGGGGGTCCAGGTGCTGGAGGAGGGTGTGAGGATGGAGTGGCCCATGGGCCCTGGGCAGGATCCAGTGTATTTTTTTTCATGCCAGTATTTCTTGTCTGAGTTCGAATCCGAACTTGACCATGTACTAGCTCTGGGGCCTTGGGCACGTTCTGCGACCCCTCCGTGCCTCCGGTTCTTCCTCGTCAAATGGGGATCCTAACTGGTCCCCCTTACAGGGCTGTTGAGGGTTGAAGCGGTCACTATGATAAGCTTGTGGACAGCACTCAGGTGCCTGGCATGTAGTCAGTTCGCTCTGAGCAGGAGGAGTTAGGGATGCTTCGCAGAGAGATGAAGGGAGAAGGGGGAGTCACAGCCCCAGCAGGGGCACAAGAGGGGGGCCCTGGGCAGAGGAGAGCAGCACCCGAGTGTTGCTGGGGCCCCGGGGTTCTTCTTCCCAGGGCACCTACGCCACGGTCTTCAAAGGGCGCAGCAAGCTGACGGAGAACCTGGTGGCCTTGAAGGAGATCCGGCTGGAGCACGAGGAGGGGGCGCCCTGCACTGCCATCCGAGAGGGTACAGCACCCCCGGGGCCTGAACTCCTGAGGGCTCCTGGGAAGAGTCTTGGGGTGCGGGTCATTGCAGGAGTGGGGTCATTGCAGGAAGAGGGGGTGTGAGGGGCACGTGGGGTGCTGGGACCCAGGTGGCCTGTCTCCCCAGTGTCTCTGCTGAAGAACCTGAAGCACGCCAATATTGTCACCCTGCACGACCTCATTCATACGGAGCGGTCCCTCACCCTGGTGTTTGAGTACCTGGTGAGTTGGGAGCTTCTACCCCTTGTGGCAGGGGGTGGGGGTGGGGGTGAGAAGAGGGGAGATTGGGGATGTCCCAGGTCTTGTTTGAGAATCAGGTTCTCAGATGTTCCAGGCCTATGGGGCAGCTTGGAGCAGGGACCTGTCCCACTCCCGGGCTTCGGCCTACGCAGGTGGGGGGCGCGGGGCGGGGTTCCAGCCCCGTGTCAGGACAGGCCGGGGCTGAGCGGCTCTGTGTTCCAGGACAGTGACCTGAAGCAGTATCTGGACCACTGTGGGAACCTCATGAGCATGCACAATGTCAAGGTGAGCGCCTTTGGCAGGGACCCAGCACTCAGGCCCTGCCCATCTTGCACCCACCTGTCCTCAAGCCCAGCGTGGGAACTCACTCACCTCCAAGGGCCCTGGCTGCTGAGGCTGCTCAGAGGTTCAAATGAAGACGGAGGGAAGGGGCAGTGCCATTCGGAGAGGACCAGGAGCTGTGCTGGGCGCCTCAGCCCACCATACAGACACATACCCTCTGCCGCCATCTACCCCCCCGCCCAGCATGAGTTTCCCCACCTGGCAGATGGGAGCATGAGTTACCTGGTGGGGTGAAGGGAGGCTTCTGGGATGCATGACCTCTTCTGGTGTTTGTCAGAGCGTCAAGCGCATACATCCCCACATGCTGGGCTTCCTGGCCTGGAACTGTCTGCCCTCCCCCATCCTCCCACCTCCTCCGTGTACCTGTTGCTCTTCCCTCTGGATGGGGTTCCCGGGGGTGGGTGGAGCCCAGGAGTGGCCGCAGTGTGGGCAGGAGAACCAGTTGGCTCTCCGGGTCCCTCACCCTGCCCAGTCCCTGTCCCCATCCGAGGCCCAGCCATGGGACACATTCCCCCCTTTCACTGCCCCCCTTCTCTTCCCTCCCGCCCCAGATCTTCATGTTCCAGCTGCTCCGGGGCCTCGCCTACTGCCACCGCCGCAAGATCCTGCACCGGGACCTGAAACCCCAGAACCTGCTCATCAATGAGCGGGGGGAGCTGAAGCTGGCGGACTTCGGTGAGGACACAGCCCCAGGGCCGCCGGGCGTCTGCCAGTCTCCTTAGGATGCGGGCGCCCTGGGGGAGGGCAGGCTGCGGCTCAGTGACATGTCTGTCCCTAGGACTGGCCCGAGCCAAGTCAGTGCCCACGAAGACCTACTCCAACGAGGTGGTGACCCTGTGGTACAGGCCCCCCGACGTGCTGCTGGGGTCCACCGAGTACTCCACGCCCATTGACATGTGGTGAGTGAGCGTCCCGGGACCTGGGGAGGCGGGGGGAGGACCTTCCACACCTCCAGACTCCCTTTGGCTGCCCCACGTGGCATCCTGGTGACCTGGATGCTAACGGGCGAAGTCTGAACCACACTGGGGTTCCCTGTCTCTAAGTAGACCCCTCTGAGCTGTGCTTCTGAAGTATTTCCCCGGGGTCCCCGGGCTCACCGGAGGCCCCACAGTGAAGACGATGATCTGCCCAAGCATCCGTTCGACTGGACGTTTTGGAAAGAATATGTTATTTTAAAAATTTGCATGGATATTATTTGTTATCGTATGAATTCAAACACCAAAACTAAAACCCAGGTTTCCGATGAGTGCCCTGGGGGTCTGCAGGAGAGCGGATGTATGACTTGTCTCCTCCGGTGGGGAACACAGAGTCGACAGGGTTTGAGACAACACAGCTTAAGGAACTGCCACGGGGGTGCTGGCTGTGCAGACACAAACCCCACAGAGTGAAAGGGGAGCGGGCAGCGCGCCCTAGAGCCCGCCGACGCCCCCATAGAGGCTGTAGTGGGGGCTGGGCCACCCACCCCAGCGCCAGG